TCTCCACTGTCTTCAAAGAAAAAAAAAAGCTATATTTATTTCCTCTGTTACAATGGAGTGATGGCATGCTGCTGCCATGTCCCACCCAGTAGAAGCTCCACTGAGTTTTTAATTTTAATTGTTACATTTGGTTCTTTTTCAAAAATACCTCGTCATTTTTGATGGTTTTGAACTATACTTACGTTTTTAATTCTATTTACTTAAACATATTAAACATCCTTATGTGGTGTATATAATAGTTCCAATAATAATTTTTGTAGATATTGCTGTTGTTTCTGGTGACTCTTGCTAATGGTGCTCTATTTCCCTGTATTTTTCTTGATTTGCGTATGTGAGTTTGTTAGAACTAGATGGGAATTATTTTCAAGGCCTTACTGAGTGTAAATTCTTCCTGGGAGGATTTGTGTTCGTTGCATCAGACATGGGCACACTACCAATTTTGATTTGCCTTAAATTAAAATTCTCAGCTTGTACAGTTGTTGGGTTTTTGTTGTTCTTACTCGGGTTTTATTTGGGAGGGCAGATTGTGTAAATGGTGTTAATTCAGCCCATAAACCTATGTAAAGTTAGGCTAGTGGCCATGAATTCTCAGCGGAGATGTTTTCCCTTCACCCTTAGTTATGACCAAGACAGCAAAGTTTTCTTGCTCTTTGCCTCTGTGGGATTTCTTTTCTGTCCTGCCACGTCCCTCCCTCAGTTCATCCTTTTTCTGAGTATCTAGCTCTTCCTGGGTCCCAGCTTTATGCAGAAAGTCTTTGCTATAACCCCCCTTCATGAGCTTTGTCTCCATCCTGTCCCCAGCTGTCTATCCTCCCCCAGGAACATCCAAGCAGTCAGGCCACTGGGAGCAGGAGATGCCCCAGCTTACTCATCTCTCTCAACTCATGTTCCCACATCTTTCTGGGTCTCAGGAAATCTCTTTTGCACAGGCGTATTCATTTATTTGAAAGGGCATTTTATCTTTCATTTGTAGGTGTCTGTAGCAGACAACCTCCAGGATCTCCAACCTAATTTCTAGAAATGGAAGCTCGAGGTGCTTTCAATACACTAACTCTCCCACCTAATGCACTACTGACTACTACCAAACCGCCAAGCCTTCGGCAGTGAAACACGGGCTGGGCATTTCTCTAGGCAACACCTTCACTGAGTGCTATTAGCATGATGTGTTCTCTTCCTTGGATTGGATGTTCTCAGGAATTTGGCAGCAGGCACTCCATAAGCGGCATATGATCAAAACAGGAAATGTTTGGCAAGAGTCCGGTGTGAAAACTGACAACTGAAAATAGGCTGCAGTGTGCATAGCTCACTCAGAATCATTTCTAAGAGCTACCAGCACTTAAAAGTGTCCATCAGTTTTGCCAGCCATGGGACGAGCTGTTGAAACTAAAGTGACTTGCAGAAAGCAGGCAGCAGGAAACGGTAGAGAGCACCCTTGCAGGTTCTTGCAAAATGAAACAAGGCACTGTTAAGAATGCAAATTGCTGGGCCCTGCCCCAGACCTACTCACCCAGAATCTGGATGGGTGGCCCAGAATCTTCATTTTTGACAAGCATCCCCTAGTGACTCTGATGCAGATGATCTTCCAACCACATGCTGAGAAATGCTGGTTTCAGAGTAGAGGCAAAGCAACTGAATTAGCAAAACCTACCAGGACTGTCGGAGAGCTGTCTCAGGTGAAGAGAAACCAGAGAGCACCACAAGAGTAAAGGGCTAAGGATAGTAAGGGTCCAAATCAGAGGCAAACCAGTTACTTACAGTTTAAGGCCAGCCACTTGCTAGCTGTTGCTCCCGGCCCGATACCACAATCACACTGTAACAGTTAGGAATCAAACAGGAGACAGAAACTACAAAGTAATTCGAACAGGAAAAAAAACGTAAAGAATTATTAACCTTAATAGGGTATTATCTACAAGGGGAAAAGGAAAACTCCAAGAATACACAAAATAGCAGATATAGGGAGCAGCCACGACCTACCTCTAGGTGGAGGCAGAACACCAAAGAAGGCACAAATCTGGAAGCACTCCCACCTGTTAGGAAGTATAGACCTATGCTGTACTTCTCAAGTCATCTGCTCCGGGTGAGGCTTCACAGGGTTTTCAAGCAAAGGACGACTAGTCTCCTCGGACACAGGAGAGCAAGTTACCTCCACCGCCAAGGAAGGCTCAGGGTGACTTGGGTGTTCAAGATTGTCAGTTTCACCTGGGTCCAAGCAGATGTCCCTATTTCAAGTTTGGGGATCCCACTCCGTCCCAACTGATGCCTTAACTTCACAAGAGAAGCCTAACAAGGCTGTAAATTCAACTAACATTGCAGCTCAGCCTACAGAGAGGTTGCAATCACGGCTGGCCACCATGCACTGGAGAGCCAGCTGAGAGAAGCACACGGGAATCATGAAGAGCGCCTTCCTTCTCTAATGTCCCTCCTGCACCCTCTACTGCTGAAGCTTAACATTGGGCCAAATGGCAAGGGAGAAATGTTCCAGTACTGGGATCAGGGCCGTGAAGGATGGGTTTGGAGCCAAGAATAAATGGGTTGATAACTGGCAATGCACCTCACCTTCAATCCCTCTCCCATGGTCTCCACCCCATGCCCACTTAAAAACACAAATACTGCAGATAGCAACGAGGAAACCCAGGATGTCAAGACCCAGGAAGAACATCTAACACTACATACTCACACGTATCCAGGGTGACCATCTCAGTTGCCCAGGACTGTCCTGGCTTTAACACTTAAAGTCCTGTGTCATGGAAAAGCCCTCAGTCCCAGACAAACCAAATGATTTGTCACCCTACACGTGTCCTCAAAGTTTTCAAATTTTCTGTGCATCAGAATCACCTTTAGCACTTGGTAAAAATGCAGGCCATTCTGTTAAAAATGAAGTTGTTTTGCATGCAAGGGGGCCAGGAACTGATTTTTGTGAAACGTTCTACTTGGAGGCTGAAGAGGTGTTAATCACTACTTTTAGGGACCCCTCAATCCAGGCTTCTTCGTTCCTGTTCAAAAACCATCATCACTGAAAAGAAAGAAATGACATCCTTTGGAAGATACAGCAAAGGTTCCTGAGCCAGAAGCAGCCACTGAGAAATTACTGGTTAATGGGGGGGAGAAAAAGAGATAAAAATCATAGCCTGGCCTTTCCACTTTTCTCTCCTTTCAGTTCTAGGATAAATCATTTTTCCTTCAATGTCATAAAGTATAACAAAGAATAATGGATGCTATGAAAATTAGATTTCATAGTAGCAACAATATAGGTACACGGATGGGCTACACTGAGCTTCCCGCAGGTAAGCAGTATACAACACAAGGCTGATGTTAAAGACTTCCACAGGGACTATGCTTTGGTAGATCTCAAAGAATAACTTGCCCAAAATAGTTAATTCAGTGCTACCTTTGCTATTTTCACACTGTAAGATACACGGTTTAACACGGCCACTTTAAAGATGTTTCTCAAGAATTCAGGTGGGGTGAAGGGAAGACACTCTTAACATATATTGAGTTTCTATTGTGTTCCAGGCATCGTGCTAAATTCTTTAACTACATAATCTCATTTAATCCCCCCACAGGAGCTGTGCCCACCTCATAAGGAAGCAGAGTGCTAGCCCTCGTTGATACACCTAGTCAACGGTGGCGTCTGGACTGAAACTTGGGTCTGTTCCCTAAAGCAAAACTTGTGAGCACTGGGGAGCCGCGAAGCACGAGGCGGGGTCCAGGCCCTGCCGTCGTGCTGCGGCCGGAGGCGTGCAGGGGCTGCGCGGGGAACACAGAGGAGGTGGTCTGACACTCTCCGCGGCTTTCAGGATAAAATGCAAACCCTTCTGCTTAGCGCACCGCGACCTGGTCCCCCGCCCCGGCCCCTCCATCGCCCCGCGCGACCCGGTCACCCTGCGTAGACCAAAGACGCTGGCGCCTGGACGTCTCCAGCTGGGGGAGGCGGTGACGCCCACAGGGACCGCGGCCTAGGAAACGTCTTCATTCCCACCTTCGCCACAGCCCGGCCCCTCACACGGCTCCACTGCACCCTCAATCGCTGCGCTCCCCTGCCACCCCAGCCCTCCCACCGGCACCTGCAGCGACTCGGCCTTCCGGGCGCGGGGGACGCTGAGCCGCCCGGACCCCCAGCGGGGCGCCGGAAGCGGCGGCGGGGGCGCGTGACGTCAGAGGAAGTGCCGGCCGCCGCGGCCTGTGGTTGGGTGTTGCTGGAGTCGGTGCCCCGCTCTTAAGGTTCCCCGGAGCGGGGGCGGCGGAGCAGCTGCGGGACGGTAGGGTGTTCTGCCGCGCCGAGTAGGTTTGACCCTGCGCGCGGCTTACTACTGGGGGCCCGGGGCTGGGGGAGGGGTAACCGGCCCTGAGGTCCCTTCTCGGGAGACCTCCGGGACCTCATCCCGGGCCTCCTGGAGGAGAAAGAAGGGTCTAAAGGAGGGCAGTTGCTCCCCCTTGAGGAGGGGACGGGCTCTCTGGCCTGCGAGGGTCGCCGGTCTGCACCTCAGCCTCGAGAAAAGTCCTGGTTCCCTTGTTTACAGAGAAGAAGCTGAGGCTCGGAAAGGGGAAGTCGTTTGCCACAGGTCCTGCAGCTGGGGGTGACAGATCCGGATTCTGAGCGGGTCAAGCTTTATCTGGGTAAAGAATCCCGGGATGGAGGAAGCCGGGGACGCCACAGGTTCAGTGGGTCCAGGATGGGGCTTGGGAACCTGTATTTACAGCAGCTGTCCTTGACATATAGTAACATACCACTGCCCTGTGGACAGAGCAAGAACTAATTGCAATAGCTGTTTGTCATGTTAAGCTTTTAAGGCCTCAGTTGAGAGGAAATGCAGACGAGGCCTTTGTCTGCACTTCTGTGGGACTGGAGAGTTGCTATTTGATTCTGCCATTAACTCTTTGGGCCGATGGCAGCCTCCGTTATCTCCCCACCTATTAGATGAGAACAGTTACATACTTGTCACCTGGGGGAATTTGCTAAACATACAGAGTCCTGGGCCCAGCTCGGCTCTACTGAATCAGAAGGGCTGGGGTTGGGGCCTGGGAATGGGTAGGCTAAAGAAGCTATAAAATGGGCTTGGGACCTTCAAGAACTTGAGATGTGAAGCTTTCTTAGATAGACCCATGAAGAAATGGATCATAGGTTCAGAACACTGAGCCTGAACCTCCTTGCTTTTGTTTTTGTTTTGTTTCTGTAGCTGTGCATGCTCCTGTATTTGCTGTGAGCTAAAATTTAGTGGCAAAAATGTCAAATTTGTATTACTGGCCATTATGAGGTGGATTTTTCAATTAGCTGAAGACTGGAACTTAAAATTTAAGTGTTAATCTACCTGCTGTTGATTTCCTGAGTGACTCTGGGTGAGCCAGTTAACCTCGTGGGCCTCCTACGTACCTGTTCGTCACCATCTCCTACAATGCTTGTTACCAAGACAGGCACCTGTATTCATCCTAAATCAGGTCTTCTCAGTCAGGCCATGGGTGTTTTTTACAAGCTTCCAGGGAAGTTTGATGCAGCCAGTGATAATGGAGTATGGAAATGTGCTTGAAACTGAGTCTTAGCCTATTTCTCAGGGTCCACGTAGGTGACAGAGTATTACAGTTTCCTTATGTTTTGCTCTTGGAGACTAATAAGAGTAATGTGATTTATGATAGGTCTTAGAATTTCTTAACGTGTTTTCTTGTGAAAAGCAAAAGTACTATAAAATTGCAGAAGATAAACGTTAAAACCAGCAGCCCCACGTGACTTAGGAGGCTGCTTGAGATGTTGTGATGACAGAAGTTGACTTTATGTAGAAGCTCTGATTGCTATTGAGCCATCTTTTTTGCCTGAAAGGGTTATAATTACCCTCTAGTAGTCCAGGCTCTCACAATCCTAACTAAAAGGACTTTTGTTTTTTTTAACAGATATTATTGTGTGGTTTGAATCAGGAATGAAATCTTCTGAAAGCTAAAAGCAGAAGCCTTTGTGGTCAACATGGAGGACAAGAGGCGGCGAGCCCGCGTGCAGGGCGCCTGGGCTGGCCCTGCTCGGAGCCAGGCCATGGCTCAGCCAGGCAAGAACCTGTGGGGATCGTGTGTGTGTGTCTGTGTGTGTGTCTATGTGGACAGCTATCATCCTCTTACTTATATTCTTTTGGTTTATAGTGGATTTGCATTTCAGTTGCTGTTAAGGAATTATTTAAAACATGGCTGGTATTTTGTCTGATTTTGTGGATAGTAAGCTAAGGGTCAATCCTTAGTGTTCTTTATGTTTAGTCAGTACTCTCAAACCTTCCAGTGTGTGTATTGAGGTCTTCGATAGACTTCACTAATTAATTTCTGGATGTCATAGAGGTCATCTCCAAGTAGATATTATTGGCCCTCGCTCACTAGAAGGTGATGAGAGCAGATTTTCCCCTGGTTTGAGTCTGTTCTCTCTCTTGCTTCAGCTCCCACTGCTAAGAGCCATCTCCACCAGAGGCCTGGTCAGACCTGGATGAACAAGGAGCATATTCTGTCGGACAGACAGTTTGTGTTCAAAGAACCGCAGGAGGTAAATTCTTGTTTCTCCTACAGCAGTAACAGATTTGCTTATAAAAGCTATATTCGCATAGTTGACACTCAAGTTAATAGTGACTGAATAAATTCACTAATAAAAGGAGAGTGAAAGGCCTATAATAATAATGAAATGTGGGGTATCAGTTCCTTAGTATGTCTGAGGATTCTTTCTAGTCGGCCTCTAATTTTTTAAAATTTTTTGTGAGGAAGATCGGCCCTGAGCTAACATCCATGCCAATCCTCCTCTTTTTGCTGAGGAAGACTGGCTCTGAGCTAACATCTATTGCCAATCCTCCTCCTTTTTTTCCCCCAAAGCCCCAGTAGATAGTTGTATGTCATAGTTGCACATCCTTCTAGTTGCTGTATGTGGGACGCGGCCTCAGCATGGCCGGAGAAGCGGTGCATCAGTGCGCACCCGGGATCCGAACCAGGGCCGCCTGTAGTGGAGCACGTGCACTTAACCACTAAGGCATGGGGCCGGCCCCTGCCTCTAATTTGTGGGCATATAGAATTCCCATTTTTTTGGTGCAGAGGCTATACCATGACTAGAGGTGAGAGCTTGTACCATGACTGGAGCTTGCGTTGGTTATCTCAGTTCTCACAGTCCTAAAACCATGCTGTCTTCAGTGCTAGTGCAGCACATGTCTCTGCAATTGGATTGAAATTTTGGCTACTACAATGCCTGGTTTTTTAACTTTTTTTTCCTTGGGGGAAAAAACGTAAGAAACAGTGAAGAGTCACTGTTTTTAATAACATGGAAAAAAGGGCTAAAAATCAGGCATCTTGCTATAGTAATGAGTGCATAAATAATGACTAAAACCCCTTATGTCATAGTATATCTTCTTTCTTTTTTTTTTTTTTTGCTGAGGAAGATTCACCCTGAGCTTACATCTGTTGCCAGTCTTCTTTTTGCTTGAGGAAGGTTAGCCCCAAGATAACGTCTCTGTCGGTCTTCCTCTATTTTGTATGTGGGTTGCTGCCACAGCCTGGCCGCTGATGAGTGGTGTAGGTCCGTGCCCAGGAACTGAACCAGGGCCACTGAAGTGGAGTGTGTGGAACTTAACCATTAGGCCACGGGGCCAGCCCCTATATCTTCTATTTTTAAAAATCTGGAAGGATTTTTCCAGAATTGCTGGCTGTTAGGGAAACGGATTAATTCTAATTGTATCATTTTTTAAAGCCCACTAGCAACTGTGAAGTAGTTCTAAGAAGAACAGAAACGAGAGTCTCTGGTTGGATAGTAAGAGCTTGGAATAAAAAAGGGAAACCTCATTTATTTTTACCAGAAATGAGAGGATATGGTAATTCTGCAAGTAAGACTCTCTGAGGATTAGGAATCATTCCGGAAGTAAAATCTGCGTATTTCCTTGCAGGTAGTACGCAGAGCCCCAGAGCCTCGAGTGATCGAGTAAGTAATTTGCTGCCTTCCTGTAACTGTTGCCACAGAGAGATGGAGAGCCTGGAATCTTTCCCAGACCCTGGTGTTTCCATCTGGAAGAGATAATGGCCCAATTAGTGTCTTAATTTTAGGCAGGGATATTCTATCTCAGATGTCTTTAAACTTGGTCCTTTGAGAAGCCTTTCTGAGTTTGCTGATGGCGTGGAAAATGCAGCAAGGTGTCTGTGCATTAAACTCTGACCCTGGGGTAGATTTCGTGACCTTGTTTCACGAATATATCTGCAGTAAGCTAAAATATCTTCCACATAAAGACAGAGGAGAATTTTTCCTGAGTCATTGAAACATGGCTCTTTGAGAAGCCTTTAAGTACCGTTTTACTAGCAATGTTTATGAAAGATACTACAATCTAGATGATCTTAAATGTTGGTTTTTTGAAACCACATAATTTTTCCAGAGCAATTTAGGTGATGGTAAACATTCCTCTTATATTGATCTGTGTCTAAAATATTCTTTTCCAAAATTGATGAAAGATGCTTTGACTCCTCTCTTCTTGCTTCTCAATTTCCAGCTGATGTTGATAAATCGTCAGTAGAAAGCGTCCTTTTATTTGAGCAAGTTAGCATTATGTGTATGTTATTGCTCATGAGCAGTCTATTAAGCTGTTTGGTTGTTTGCGTATTTTGTATATCTTAGAAAAATTTTAAACTAACACAAATGTCATCATACTTTCAAAGAGGATATGTCATCGTGACCTCACCACTAGTTAGCTATGTAACTAGTCCTTAGGTAAGTTATTGCCATCTCTCTAGACTTTAGCTTCCTTGTGTGTAATATTGAGGGTTTGGACCACATAATCACTTAAGGCCCAGTCTAGTAGCTCTAACAGTCTTTGATTGTTTTATAAGTACCAAAGTGATATTGCCTCCATTAGAGATAAAGAGAATAAACAAAACCATGAAACCTGTTACAAGGTACAGATGGGACATTTAGGCTGAAAAAATGGGCAATTGTGAATTTCCACGTCAGAGCAAAATGACAGCACATTCCTACTTGACCCTAGGGTTTGTTAATTCTGGTTATCTGAAGTGAGCTATGCTAGATTTTTTTTTTTGTAATAGCCAGAAATGTCGCCCGCATTTGAAGTGAGCCAGTTTCTAAATGTGGCCCAAAATATATCATACTGAAACATTGTATTCACAGTCTGGGAAACTTTATAGGTAACTCATTTAGAAATGTGATAAATATATATGACAGTAACTCTGCCTACATTTTGGCTCAGAGGGCCTCACACATCTACCTAAGAGCCCAGCTTGGAGATCATGAACTACTCACTCACATGGCAAAGTGTGATGTGAAAACTGTCCCTTTATATGATTCTCTGTAACTTGTCTGTCTGAGAAGGATCTGACACAGTTATCTTGATGGAGGCCCCTATCCAGTCTGGGTCACTTTTCTCACCATGGACCTTGCCGCCCTGCTCATCTCCAACAGTTTTGTGCTTTTGCACATTTGATTAAATTCGGTACGCTTTTATTGTCCATCAACTACGTGCTAGGCACTGGGAAACAGAATAATAACCCATTCCTTGCCCCTCAGTAGCCCACTCTAGTAAATGCCATAGACACGTAATCAGATAAACTGTAATCCTGTATGTCGTGAGACTGTAGACTTATGTGTGAGGTCTAGTGGGAGCACACGGGGTGAGATGATTAACCTTATTTGGGTGGATTAAATGTCAGGAAAGGTTTACAGAAAGTGATGCTGAGCTGAGATTTTGAAGGATGAGTTTTCTACTGGGTTGGATTGGGGTGCTGGATGGCGGGGAGGCATTCCGGCATGTGGAACAGCACAGGATGAGAAACGTGGTGGTGTATTCAGGAGATTCCATCCTCCTCCAGTTGTTACTGGAGGAGGATGAGTCAGTGGGAGCTGTCGGGAGGTGGAGCTAGATCGTGCAGACCTTGAATGCAATGCTGGAAAGTTGATGGGGAGCCTTTGAAGGATTTTAATCACAGGAGGAGCCTCGTTAGACATGTGTCTTTGAAAGCAGCAGAAGTCACAGCCCTGAGATGTACTTGGTACCTGTTAAATGATCCCTATTCCAGAGTCTCCAAAGGGTGCTATATTGTGTGATAGATTTCTGGACCATATCAGCCTAGATTATGGGTGAAATATAAAGATAGACTCAGAATTTATTTTATCCCGGTCTTCGTCTCCATGGCCCGATCCTGCCAGGATTCTATGCCCAATGCCATTAATGATTAGGGCACCATCTTGCCCTTTATCTCAGTGGTAGAAGAAGGTGGGGGCTCTGCCTCCCTCATAGTGTGTCCTCCTTGTTAAATGATTCTGGTGAGCCAGGATTTTGGAAACTCCAAAGGGCGGTCCTTTCACTGGGTGGAGTGTGTTGTATTGCCTGATACTAACAAGTCTGTTTTCTTTGTTTCTTTAGCAAAGAGGGTGTATATGAAATCAGCATATCAGCCACAGGCGTATCTAGGTAAGTGAATCCTCACTAGAAAGTGATTAGAATTATTACTGAGTCATGGTCTCTTAAAATATTCTACTCCCTTACCTGAAATAGGTAACTTCTGCCCCCTAAATTTTTGAGGAGTAAGAATTTGGTAAGATTTCTTTTTATATAGCATTTCTAGCTTCACACCATTTCACAGCCTGTCTGTCAAGTGTAGTAACTGTTACCTCCCCAGGTTTTCAGATGAAGGAATGAGGCCCAGGGAGATGGAGTACCTTTTCCTAGTGCCGCACAGTGATTTTAAGTTAGAGTCGGGTCTAGCCTGACTTCTGTGTTGAGTGCTACGTTGTATTATTATGTTACATTATACATATTACTACGTATATTGTTATGTTAATCATATACTAGTATATAAACATATATCAAGTTACATTAATCCTTAGTCTACATTAATAGATTAATACCTTAATCTATATCAAGGTAGATTTCAGTAAAGTTAAAGCACATACGATTTAGGGTATATTAGGCATTAGTCATTGTTTTAAAAACATTTTGAAAGTGTCACCTTAATGCATGAGTATACTGATTGTCACTATAAAATAATGAGACACTTAAAACAAATATATCAGAATTTACATATTTAAATGTATGCTTAGAAAGGGCTTCTGTTGACTGGGAAGTCTCTGTAATGAGTCCAGTGGCACTGCCACTGTTATAACCCTTTCTGGAATGTCCCTTTTAAAGCAGGTTTAACAGTCACGTGAGAAAATGAGTTGCATTATTTTGGTCACAGCTCATTGTTAACCCGGTGTGGCTTCAGGTGAGCTTTGGCTCTTTCAAAAAATTGTTTCATGATGTATGTGAATCAAATCATTATGCTGTGCCCCTTCAGCTTACACAGTGCTGTCTGCCCATTACAGCTCAGTAAAACTGGAAAAATAGTAATTCAGATCCAAACATTTTACATTGGACAACTGGTTAAAATCAATTAATAAATTACGTGTTGTGCTGTTAAAAAAAAAATCAAATGCATCTTCAAAGAGTAAATTTCTGCTACCATCAGGGCTGTTCAAGAGAATGTTCCATGAGCTTCTGGAACATGTCTTAAGAGGGATATCCAAAATGGTTTTGAGCTGACTTGGCATTGTTGAAATAAGTGTACATTCAGTGAGAGAAAGGACCCTCATTTGGATATGTGTATTTCGATACAGTCATAAGTGATCACTTTCCTTACAATTGGCATGGTCTCAGAAGATTACCAATTGTCAAAATAACACAGGGCCAGGCATTTTATTAGTTATTGTACTTTTCATAGTGACCTTATGAGGTGGATATCATCTTTGTGTTACAGATGAGAAAAACCAAGGTTCAGAGAGGTGAAGTACCTTGCCCAAGGTTTCCCAGCTGATCAATGCTGGAGCAGTATTTGAACCACGTCTGTAAAAGCCCTCTTGCGTCCCTCTGTGTGTCATTGCCTCTTTTATTTGTCTTAACGTGAAAGGAGTTTGTTTTACATCTGGAGCATCGTGACCTGGTGGTCTTAGGCTCTGGCTGCCTGGGGAGGTGTGATAGACAATTTCATCTTCCCGTGAAAGGAAGCATCATCCAGATTAATTGACTCTGCTAACGGGTAGAGTCTAACCCATCTTCCCCGTTCTTTTGTTAATAACGGTTCTTTCTGCATCAAGGATGCGTTTGTATCCTGGCTTTGTGGACGTGAAAGAAGCCGACTGGGTGTTGGAACAGCTTTGTCGGGAGGTTCCCTGGAAACAGAGGACGGGCGTCAGAGAGAGTGAGTAGATCTCTGAGATGGCATTTTTGCCACTGGTCTCCCTTTCTGGAATGTTTTCTAATACTGTTGCTCCTCTCACCACAGCCAGTCTCAAATAGAGATTCAAAACCTGAGACCCTAGGATGAGAAGGAATTAGGCAGTCAGAGGGCACAGGGAAGAGTATTCCAGGCAGAAGAAATAGATGTAGTTCTCAGAGAGAACAGGGCAAGAGTATAGAGTGGGATTCAGGGAACCAAAGGACCTTTGGTTTGGCTGAACTGTGGTTGACATACTTATTTCCCTGTGTGTTTATTCACCAACTTTATTACTTCAAATGGAGCCAACTTTCCTCTTTCTTCATAGAAACTTCCAGAGCTTTCTTTTTTCTGATTCTATTTGGCATATGTTCTTGTTGCAATCCTTCTTCTTTTTTTTTTTTTTTTTTGGTGAGGAAGATTGGCCCTGAGCTAACATCTGTGCCCATCTTCCTCCACTTGGCATGTGGGACGCTGCCACAGCATGGCTTGATGAGCAGTGCATAGGTCTGTGCACGGGATCCAAACCCATGAACCCCAGGCCGCTGAAGCAGATTGTGCACACTCAACCACTACGCTACTGGGCCGGCCCCTCGCAATCCTTCTTATACCGGCTTTTTATTCTCAGTTTCACTAGAAGAGTCCAGTCCCCTTTAGCTTCAACATATGAACTCTCCTGGGCTTGTAAACATGGCCTGACTTGGAACGTGCTCCTCTGTCCGCATTCACAAGGGCAGCACCTGCTATACCAGAGGTGGTCACTGGGGGGCGTCTGTGCTCCAGCGTCAAATTTCCTTTCTGGCCTGTTGAGTGAATTTAGATTTTCTGTAACGAAAGAGGCAAAGTATACTGGCTTCATTTTTGTGACTCAGACATCAGAATACGAGTCAGCTTTTCAGGGCAACCTTCTCCTAACCCTCAGCAGTTCCTGCAGCAGGGCTTTTGGTGACAGATGTGGCTTTGATTTCTGGCTCTGTCATGCAAAGTAATTGTTAATTTCAAGCAAATTACAGTTAAGTAATTTTCAAATCTTTGGTTTTCTGATCTGTAGAATTGAACTAATAATAATATCTACCTTATAAGGTTGTTTTGATAATTAAATGAGATAATGCATGATGGGTACTTAACAGAATGCCTGGTATATAGTAAGCTTTCAATGAATGTTAGCTGCTTTTATTATTACTGTTCTTGTTGTCGTGGTTGATATCAGTTGTGGGTACAATAGCAGATCTATGGATAACTCCCTCGCTAAATAAACTGGATATCGAAAACTTCTGACTAAAATCAGCTACATGCTGTGGTTGGTCAGAGCACTTTTTTCTTTATTCAGAATCAAAGGGGCTAAGACACTGGTGGCACGGGGGGAACAGTTTATCTTGTTTCTTGTATGGACGTTGGTGCCACAGATTCCTCCCTGCAAGGGTTCAGACACCATATCCTGCTTTCTAGACCCTCCCTGATCTGAACCCCTCTGTTCTGCAGTGTGACTCCCTCGCTCTTGTTTATGTCGTCGCTGACACAAGTGAGTCACACACATTCTCCCCCAAAGCCTTTCCCTGTACTGTTTCTGCCAACGTACCTTGTCTGTCTTCTTCATTTAGCTCTTACCCGTTCTACTCCTGACACCGCATGTCCTTTGTGAAGGTGGAACCCTGGGTCAGAGCCCATGCTTACTCTGCCTTTGCATTTCTCACAGCTTCCTGCGCATTGCTAGGTGTAGTGCTGGCACTCAGTAGGGACACCTTAAATAGCATCAAACCGTTTCAAAGGCCCTGTATTTTCTTTCTTAGATGTAACTTACCAGCAACCAAGACTTACAGCATGGTATGGAGAACTTCCTTACACTTATTCAAGAATCACTATGGAACCAAATCCTCACGTATGTTGGAATATTGTTGTTGGTATGGTTTTATAGACTATAGACTATAAGTGCAGACTACTGTAAAATAATATTGAATTACCTTGCAAAGCTGCATGATGGTTCCTAGTTCAAAAAATCCTCCGGGTTCAAACACTGAGTCTTTGTGCTTATGACTCTGATGTGCTTTTGATCCACAGATGAACTCTGAGGGTGAGAAAAAACTGGAACTAGAATAAACTGGAAGCAGACTCTAGGATTTCAAGAAACGAACCAGTTCTCCTCCTAATCTCCCCCTTCCCCAAGCTTTTCTGGCAGTAGCCCTTCTGTGTACACCCCGGTACACATTTGCTGTGGGCCAAGTCCTTATGACTGGCCAGTGAGGTCACAATGTCTTTTTCCATTTCTCAGGCTCTTTGGCCATTTGTGAAAAAATCTGGTGTTTTTCTTGGTGACTTTGTATTCATTCTATGGCCGCAGTTCTCAGGCTTCTAATGTATCATTGCTCTGGCTTGTTTCTGCTGCTGCTTTTGTTTTTGAAAATTTCCATGACAGTAGATAAAGCGATTCTAGTGTATAAATTAAGCTTGTCCAGAGGATGGAGTTAAGGTCCAAGAAACAGCTTCCTGTTAAGTATCTGGAATCTTGCCTGTGGCAGATAATGTTATGCTTTATTGAAAGAGACTTTGAGGAGAATGGAGTTTTGCTTGTGGCGTTGGGATAGACAGAAATGTGACACATTTTAGAGCTTCTAGAAATCTGTAATGATGAACTACCGCTTACTGAAATGTTAGGGATAAAATATTGACTGGAGGGCACATGGCTTTGTCACATAAGAAAATAGCTGTATGCTCTGGTTTCGAGGGCTGCGTTTAGAATGTGACCCAGGGAAGTGTTGAGACCCTTCCTATCTGAGGTTGCTTTGGAAACATGAAGAGAGTTGACTTAGGCCAATCCACCGTAGACTGCTGGCCATGTTTCTGTCAGAATTAATTTGCCTTCTTGTCAACAGTCATAACAGAGGAGTTGAGGGTTAAACAGGCCGTGGAGAAGTTCTTTCTCATTCATTCTAGTCACTCTTTAGAACAACATTTCTCAACCGTGGTATTACTGACATTTGGGGCTGGATAATTCTTTGTTGTTGGGGCTGTCCGGGGCGTTGTAGGATGTTTGGCAGTACCCATGCCTTCTGCACACTAGATGCCAGAAGCACCTGTCACCCAGTCGTGACAGCCAAAAATGCCTCCAGACCTTGCCACACGTGTGCTGGGGACGAAATTGCCCCTGCTTGAGAACCTCTGCTTTATAATAAACGTACGGCACGTGAGATCTGCTGAGTAGAGCGGCCTTGTAGACTGTGGGGACGTTTTGACAACTCTTCAAAAGAACTTTTTTAATGACAATCCTTTTATTATCATGTAAGTAATATGTGTTTATTATTGAAAATTTAGAAACTGCAGATAAGCATGAAGAATATTAAAATTTGGGATAATTCTTCCACGTGATGTTTTGGTTCCTTTCTTTTTTTATTTTAGGCAAATATATGTAGAGAATTTTTCTGTAAAATCAATTATGTGTACTACATTTCATTTAACTGTTAGCATGTTTTAGTATCATTAAATATTCTTTTACAACATCATATTTAAAAACTGCATACTATTCCATAATCCATGTGTACCATAATTTATTCAAGAAAGCCTCTTTTGTTGGATATAAGGTTGTCAAATTAGAATTCTCTAATTTGAATTTGGCTGGCTCGTAACTTTGTGTTTATTGCTGATAGATTTAGTTTATTTATATACATCATGAACAAAGTCCAAAGAGTTGCCCCTTTCTTAGGTTTTTTAAGGGGAGGATTCACTGATGTGTGTGTAAGTGTGTTGGAGGCACTCGTTTAATTTTAAAGTTGTTATATCTCAGGCTTAGTATCCCATAGCACAGGAGCAGATTCAGTCATAGGTTATTAAAGTTCTGTTAGTCTTTGTTCAAACTAAATCTTACACAAAGCCAGGGTGTGAAAATCAAAGAGCGCCCTGACCGGCTGGGAGTCCTCCAGCCTGACCTCTTTTCCCTCTTGTGGTCCCAGAGGCACCTCTGTGGACCTGGGACTCGACAAAGCACTGTTTGAGCTCCACTGAATAGCTCCTTTGGCTTCTGTGGTTCACATTTCCTCATACTCTTTTCCTCAGATGTCTTTTAAGGATAGAATGTCTTCACTGAACAGTGAGATGACGCTGAATTTTAATTTAGACGTTCAGTTCTGAGGGATCTGTATATAGAGTATTGGTCGGAGAGTCTAAATTAATACCCTAGTTCATTATCCTCTTTTTTTCTCCTTATTTCACCACCAAAAATAACCAAGAAAAAACATATACCCGCTTAGAAACATAATGCAAGCTTGGTGCTGTCAGTGCTCAGGCCCTCAGCAAGTCGGGGAAGTGCTAATGAGTTGCGCAGTCACACTGCAGACACGCTCTCTTCCTCCTTGACATTCTTGTTTTTCTTGTGAAGTGTATAATTCTACCATCTGATCTTTATCTCCATGAAGATAAGCTTAAAATAAATAGGAAATAAAGCTTGCTAACATTACTGTGGAATTTCACTTTGAAATTTATTCTCTTGAACATTGGTTAGTTTAATAACATTTCTGTTTATTTGATCTAAGTTTTGTTTATTGTTGTTGCTGTATATTTTTTAAAATCCTCTGCTTAGAATGTAATGCTAATATCCATAACAAGGAAACCCAGCTTTTATCATGTGAGGCGTCCACCTCACAGCAAAGCTGAGTGATAACCACATGTGCTTCCCTGGCGGTTTTCCCTGACAATAGCCATGGGATATACTTAATAATAGTAATATGCTTTCCTTTGCTGAACGTCCATTCCTTCACTACCAGACATAGAACATGGACTTTGAAGGGGCTCTCAAAAGCAGCAGTTCTTAAAGTAGAATCTGTGCATCCCTGGAGCGGGTCCATAAAATCCTTTTTGGGAATCCACAAGGTCAAAACTATTTTTATAGTAATGCTGAGACTAGATGACATTTTCACTGTGTTGGATTTGCACTGATGATACAAAAGTAGGGTAAAACTGCTGGTGCCTGAGCGTGAATTAGGGCATTGTCACCAAACTGTGCTAGTAATCATTGTATTCTTCACTGCCGTGCACTTCCAGTTAAAAAAAAATGCTAGTTTCATTTAAATATATCCTCAATGAAACGGTAAACGTTATTAGTTTTATTAAATCTCGGCCTTTGAGTACATGTCTCCTTAATAGTTTGTTTGATGAAATGGAAAGTATGTATAAAACCCTCCTGCTGCAAAGCAAGTGTGAGGTCACTGTGTGACTGTTTAAGCTGTAAGCTGAACTGGCTACTTTGTTCATGGACCATTTTTACTCACAAGAACAACTGGCAGACCAGCTGTAGCTATTCAGACTTGAGTGTTTGGCAGACATTTTCTCATAAATGAATGAAGTCAGTGGCACTCAAGGAAAATGATGGACAGGATTTGTTTCTAATGATAAAAGTTGAGTTTTCAAGCAAAAATTAGAATTTTGATAAAAGTTGAGTTTTCAAGCAAAAATTAGAATTTTGATAAAAGTTGAGTTTTCAAGCAAAAATTAGAATTTTGGAAAACTCGTATCCACCACTTTGAGCCTGACCTCTTCCCATTAGCCTTTTCTGATGAGGTCAGTGGTGATATTAGTGGATGTGAGTTTTGATATTGTGTAATGAAACGTGTCAACAGTTAAAAGAGCTGCGTAACTCAGTGAACCAGTAGCTTCCAAATGACCGATGCCTGATGTGACAGAATCACGCAGATTACAAGATGCGTTCAGGGCCAGCCCCGTGGCTTGGCGGTTAAGTGCGCGCGCTCCGCTGCTGGTGGCCCGGGTTCTGATCCCGGGTGCGCACCGACGCACCGCTTCTCCAGCCATGCTGAGGCCGCATCCCACATGCAGCAACTAGAAGGATGTGCAGCTGTGACATACAACTATCTACTGGGGCTTTGGGGGAAAAATAAATAAATACAATTATTTAAAAAAAAAAAGATGCGTTCAGAGTGCAAGCTGGATCTAAATGTAACAGAACAGGAAAAGCTCGTTGATATGGTTTCAGATTCCATATTGCAACTAGGAAATCAAAGTTGAAATATAATGAGGTACACCTGGAATTTATATAATGTTATAAAGCAATGTTACCTCAATAAAAAAAATTTTAAATAAGACATCAGTACTTGTTGAGTTTTGGTGTAATATCAAAGAGTATCTACAATTATTTGAAAAGGCTATAAAAGACTCCTCCCCTTTCTAATTACGTGTCTGTGTGAAGCCCATTTTCTTCATATCCTTCAATGACAACAGCAGATTGTAACCGATTGAATGCAGAAGCAGATGTGGCAGTCAACTCTCTTCAATTAAGCCAGACATTTAAGAGATTTATAAAACATTTAAGAGATTTATGCCACTCTTCTCACCAATTTTTTGCACTGGAAAATATAGTTATTTTTCATAAATAATATTTATGTTAACATGTAATGGGTTTGCTGTTTTTTTAGTGAATTAACCAGTAGTTTAAATTTTTTTCAGTTTTAATTTTTAATATGGTAAATATCATTGCTGTAACCCGTATAAGCAGCAGTTCTATGGGGTCCTCAATGAGTTTTGATAGTGTGAAGTTTGAGAACCACCATCCTAAAGGTAGCTCTGTAAAGCAGGTGAGATTTCTTGGAGGAAGGACCTAGAATTCTAACAAGAACCAGTACAAGCTATGCTGGTCGTGGTTCCCAAGTACAACCAAAGGTCAGGCATTGTAGCTTCCTGTAGCATACATGGCAGGACGGTGAGTTCCAAATATGAACAAATATAAAGGGCCAGCCCCATGGCTTAGCGGTTAAGTGTGTGAGCTCCGCTACTGGTGGCCCGGGTTCGGATCCCGGAAAGTTGTTTCGCTCCTCAGAGTTCACTGTCTGTCTGCTGACTGCCTGGCAGCCTGGCAGCTGTGCTGGCAAACCAGACTTAGGCTCCACTCACCACCTCCGTGACTTAAGAGGTGACTGCCCCAAGTGTATCGACAGCCGCTGCTTTGTGAGGGTCATGTATTTCACATGGCAAGGATGAGATGGGTAGATAGGCCTGGTCCTCATGACATTGCTCTACCAAATTTAGTGCCTTTATAAGCACTAATATAAGCAGAGGTCAACTTGTTTTAAAATAGAAATAATGGAAGAGAATTAAACTACTCTTCTTGCCTTCTGTTTATTACATTCCAAGTGGTTTGCTTATTCCATGCCCCTGTTTATCATTTGACTGATTTTGGGCTTTCTTTGTTTTTCCATGTGGCTGCCACCTTGTGTCGTACGTGAACTGTCTGCCCCTTTTCTTGGCCTGTTGACTGCAGTGGCATCCTGTGCTGCACAAACTGAAGAACCAGATTGAAGAGAACACTGGCCACACCTTCAACTCCTTGCTCTGCAATCTTTACCGAAATGAAAAGGACAGCGTGGACTGGCATAGCGATGACGAACCCTCACTAGGGAGGTGCCCCATCATTGCCTCGCTCAGTTTTGGCGCCACACGCATGTTTGAGATGAGAAAGAAGCCCCCACCCGTGAGTATTGTCGTTTTGTGTGTGTGTTCTTCCTGCCTCCTATTATTCTGTGCAAAAAGTAGAGCTCCTAAAAGCTCCTAGTTTCAGAATTAGAGGTTAGGAGTATGTGTTTTGTTGATGAAACATTTTCAACTAATTGCTTACCCCATGGTTAACTTTTGGCTTCCAAAATGCCCATTCGTTCATTTACTCATCCAACAGAAATTGCCTGCCACGTGCCGGGTGCTGGGGGCTCATCTCCATTGGTGGGAAGGACAGACATAGTCCCTGTCCTCATGGAGACGGGGTAGACAGATATTACTAATTACTCAAATAATTGCGATTATGATAAAGGGTAGGAGGCAGGGCTTATAAAAGAAAGGCTCAAGGTAGCAGGGGCAAGAAGGGAGAGGAAGGAAGCTCAAGGAGGATGCCCCTGACGAAGGCTTTATTTTCAGTAAGTTCTTCATGGCACTGTTGCCCCTTTCCTGTGAGGGAGCATCACTGCATGCTCATTGCCGTCTTAGCCCTCTCCAGAAATACAGATGCATGTGTAATTCTCTCAGTGAGAGGACGTTTGAGCCCGATTATCAGAGGTGGTGGTCTGTCCAAGTTCAGGTCCGGAAGCAGTGACGAGACTGGCTGTGTGATACCTTCCGTTTTCCGTCCCAGCTCTCGCCTGTATTACATGACAGTTGAGGGGTGCTAGGGCTGTTAATTTTTTTCAGATCAAAAAGTGTGGAACTTTAGGCCTAAGATGGATAGGAAGATACCAGGAACTCTAAGAAGAGAGCAGACCTCCACCGAGTCATCTCATTTCCAGGGTTTGTGTCTTTTTCTAGCCAAGGTTCCCAGTCATTCAGCTGATAACATTAAACCAGGCCCAGCCAGTGTGGAGGCCCTCCAAGGCTGTGTTTTGAATCATCCAGACCACATGATTGTTAGTCAGTCAGTGCTCATGTCTGTTCTTCATCAGATATGCTTCTTTAAGAATACAGTTGATGGACTGGGCTGTCTTCCTGACGTATATTGGGTTTCCAGGCATGGTATTTCGAAGCATGTTGTGTCATTTTGCGTTTATGCCATTAAGTACCTTTTGTTGGTACACTTTCCATTGATTAGGTTTTCCTTGCTGCTGTTTACACAGAAGGTTTGTCTGTGTTGGCAGGGGATTGTCAGCTGCAGTGCCTTGTTGAGTGGATGTGCTCCCTGAGCACTCTGAGTAGCCTTCGCAGTTTCCTGGGCAGTCAGCCTTCTCATGTACCAGGAGTACCACTGGAGAAGCAGACTCCCCGACCTTTGCCATATTCCTTTTAGGTATGGTTGTGCTCTATACACAGGCTTCCCCTCAGGTAAATCACAAGTTCACACGTGTGAAGAATTCATCCTGCCCTTGGTAAGACTCTTGTTACATGAATAGCAGAGAAACACCACAGGTCTCATTTTTAAGTTCAGACCGTCTTCTCAAGCCAGACATATGGAATACCAGCTTTTGCCAGGCATGTGCCTGGGAGCTGGGGCTATAGCAGTGAATGAATAAGATGAACTTGTCTTTCCCCCTCTAGAGTTTGTGATCTACCATGTTAGTGTTGTGCCTTCCAGAGTTATCCTTCCATCCTTTCGAGTGGCAGATAGGCTCTAGTATATTCAGTATAATCTTTGCTATAATCCCAGTCTCTTGTTCTCTGCTGTTATTTTGTAGGTTGCCAAGTATTTATTCAGTTACTGTTTCTTCACACACGTACATTCACCACCACCCCCCTTTTAAAAACATTTTTAGCCTATTTATAGATTTGAAGTTTAAGAATTCCTAAAGCATGCTTTCTGGATAATTAGTTTTACTGTACGAGCAGTTTCCAACTATCAACCATTAAGAGTATTCTGGTGCAGCCCCCGTTTCTTTTCCCCTTCAGGCAACTAAAGGTCTTCATTTTCTCATATAAGAACATTATTCATGGTGATCAAGAGCTATTTCTTGGTAATATGCTTCAGTTATGTTATAGGTTAATGCGTGGGTGGAGACTGTAACTACCACATAGCGTTGTTGCTGAGGGCACCCGTTTGGAGCAAAATCTCTGTTTGAGAGAGAGACTGTCCATGCTGGAGCTTTATCTTCTCCAGGCTTCTCAGAGTCGATTTTGATGAACATGAGTGAAAGCACAGGCCATGAAATGCTAAAAATGTGGTTAAGTCCCTTTAATTATCCACCAGTAGCAAGGGGATCCACACTATAACTATGGTAGCTGATTTGGTGAAAAAACAGATCTGATAAGTAAGAAAATGTGTCTGCGATCTTGAAGCAAAGTTGGCTGAGGAAATGGATTTGGGAAGAAATATAAACGTGTCAGTACCTCAGGTTGTTGATTCTAATTTGGCTTCCTACACAGTCTTAACTGTGATTGAGTTTGATGCAATTGAATAGGTTTTCAATCCTGGCTTTTGTTTCAAATGGGGAAATTGAACGTTACTATATTTGAAATTATAATCATGCGTTAGTGGATACAGTTTAAAAATGACTTTTTCCCCCAGAACCTATAAGTCACATTCTTGGGTAAACAAGACCCAAGTGTAAACTTTTGGAAAGACTCCTTCAGGTTTCTTTAAAAGATTCCAAAAATCTAGGCTCCACAAATCTAGCTAAACAAGAAGTGCGGAAGCCTTTCTTTGAGTTGACAGCCTCGGAGATGTATCTCAGAGTACATCCTCTTTGTCTTATTATAATAATCTCTTTTCCGAAGAGTTGAAAGGAAATGATTATTGCAAATCTGTGTCTACTTTTCTTTCTAAACTCTGGTGGTAGCTCTGAGAACATGACTCGTGATTCATACAACCCAAGGTAAAAGCATAAATTAAAAAGTATAACTTAGGTTCATCTTCCTGTGGAATTGGTAGGAGCCTGACTTTCTGTAACCCTGAGGGACCTATCTCGGTACGCCACTAGAGATTGTGATTTTCACGTCTGTCAACAAGACATTTGGAGCGTTCCCGAGGTTGTGGGAGGGAGTCTCTTTCAAACTCCAGTGAGTTTTAACCTATCAGAAGAGAAGCTAATACCTGTGTGACTCGAGTCAAAGTTTCTCATGGAAGGCTGACACAGGAGAGTCATGAGATTTTCTGCACTTCATTCAAGGATGCAGTTTTGAGACAAAAGCATCTGTTTGGGGCCACTTTCAAAGAGAAATAGTCTTTTCTCTTTTGCATTCAGACTCCTCCACCGCTCAGCAGTTGCTTGTTTTGCCGTCTGGCACCTTAGCAGATCTCTGTAGCTGGTGATCTTCCTAAAGCTGCCGCCCCAGTTCCACACACTGCCTTCTCCCTGTGCTGAGATGCTGAGGAGATCTGTTTCCAAAGCCCTGGCGCCCCTCTGACTCACGCAGTTGGCTCAGTCAGCTCCACGCATGCATCATCCCTACGATTAAACATTTCACTCCTCCAAGATGCCCCTCCTTTTCTCCCTGTCCTCCAGTCCGAGTCTGCCAACTCCCGCTCATTCATTTCGACTTTAGAGTAAATTACCATTTCCTTTAGTGATGATAAGGTTCTTGTGGGTGTAGTAGACTTGCCTGATCTTGTTCTTCCGTCCACCCCATCTCTTCTTTTGTTAATTCAGTTAGCGACTGAGTGAATAGCACCATATTTATCTTCTGGCCCATATCAGGATATACTGTCTTAAGACAAAAGGAAAGCTTACCAAATATACTTCAGTAGACATTTTTTAGAAACCAGGGACCTTTTTTATTCTGCCAAGCTGGGCTTCTTAAAGCTTTTCTACACTCCTTGTCCCAAACCCAGTTGTACTTTGCAGACTGCATCATGTCCCTGTTCTAAAGATTAGCCTGGTTCTTTTCCCAGCTAGCTTTAATTCTATACTGAAAAACAAGCTGGAAAAGGAACCACAAAAGCCATTTGGCAGGCTGCTATTTCTCTGTCGGTTACCATGGAAACTGTGATGGCTGAGTTGGGGGGGTGGTTATTAGATAATGGCAGGAAGTTTGTGATGCACTGGAGGTTTAGATGCCAAAAGCCGTGTTTTTCTAGAAAATTATCCATGGATAAGTTCTGTCCTTCATCAGCTGAATCCTGAAAATGTGAGGGCTTCTCTCTGCCTCAGGGTGATTGAGTTGAGGCAGGTGGGCATTTCTCCATCCGCTCCCTCTCTAGCAGCTTCTGAAGGGTGTGAACCCTGTTCATATCTCCGGAAGAGCTGGTCGTAAAACCACTTCTAATGGTGGAGGCTCTGGGAGCTCCCAGAGAATTGGAGTTCCCTTGCTAATGGGCTTTTTACACACTTCTGGGAAGAGTGGAGAGCGAAAAGGTCAGGTTGATCATAAATACTTATATTTTCCAAGACTTTAGAAAAATTAGGATATTGGAATCCAGAATAGTACTGACTAGCTTCAACTTGAAAATTGGATGAACCAGACTGTAGTGTTTCACGGAGTAGTGTCTGAACCTCCACCTCAGCCGGCACGCCCACTGCTGCTGTTCCAGTCGCCCACGCTTGCTCTTAGTCCAGCTCCTGATCACAGCGTCCCTTCTGAGAAATGACAGGAAATACTCGGAAGAAATTGTTGATAACATCGTCTTTGTAATACGTGCCCTAATGAAATTTAGCAAATCAGGCTTTGTTTCCTGTTTCTGTCCCTGATGTTGGTAAAAGGCACCTATCTGCCTCATTTATACTTGCCCCTTTTTTGTAAATGGGCATGATGATTGGTACTCCTTCATGGGAGTAACAGAAAAGTTCCCCCATGAAAGGCCTGTGAAGGTTGTCGCAGTGATCAGGGAGTCTTTGAGCTGTTGTAAATGGTAGGTGCCGCGGGGACTTTTCAGATGTGGAAATTGAAAAAGGAAATGAATAGCAGTGGAGCTCAACTGCAAGATGCCCTAGGCCTGTGAAACGGCATTCATTGAGGGAGTGAGGGGACACGGGGAGGGTGAAGCGGCCTGTGGGTCAGGGATGGTGGCTTCATTTTGAGCTCCTGTCTCTAGGGTCATTTAGTGGTTTGGAGAATGTGAGT